TGACAAATAAAGAGGTTCTCAAACCTCATCCAAAAGACAAGATGGACCAGTGAAGAAATGATCAAAAGAATGATAGTCATGGAGCTGAGAAGGTGGCTCAGTGGTAGAGTGATTGCCTCCCCTGCATGAGGACCTAGGTTCGATTCCTCAGCACCACACAAGCAGAAAAGGCCAGAAGTGGTGCTGTGGCTCAAGTGGTAGAGCTAGCCTTGAGCTGAAGAGCTGAGAGACAGCACCCAGGCCCAGAGTTCAGGCCCACGACCAAAAAAAAAAAAAGAATAATTGAATAATTGTCATTAGCTTATTTAGACAGCAGTGGTTAAAAGGAATTCTAATTCTCCAGCTAGAAGGTAATGGCCTGCATATGATCAAATGAAAAGATGTACCATATCTGGAAAGAACAGACTTTAGTTCTGGTCACACTCTGAGAACCACTAACTTATACTAGATATCAGCCAATTTTTTTTTTTCAAATAATCTATCAGTTCCACATGTGATCTTTGTTGCATTCCCAGTTGCTATTTTTTAAACAACGTGTTAACATTTTTAAAGTATGCTTAGTAAATGAACTTTTTTTTTTTTTTAATCACAGTCTGGGGGCTGGGAAGGTGGCTCAGTGGTAGAGTGCTTGCCTCGCATGCATGAGGCCCTGGGTTTGATTCCTCAGCACCACATAAGCAAAAAGAAAAAGCTGGAAGTGGCGCTGTGGCTCAAGTGGTAGAGCACTAGCCTTGAAATGAAGAGCTGAGGGACAGTGCCCAGGCCCAGAGTTCAGGCCCACAACTGTTTAAAAAAAAAAAAAAAAAGTCACAGACTGGATTTGGGGATGTGGGCCACAGTGTGCTGATCCCTGTAGCACCAATAAAGAAACAAGGATTAACCTTACTATAAGATTAATTTTCCTAAAATGCTACTTGCATATTAGTCCCCAACTCTGAAATCTCCACTGTGCTCACTGCCAACTAAGTCCAACCCTATGATGACTAATATCCACAAACATCTCCAGCTCCCAACTATACTTCCTGACCTATCAACTGTACCCCTGAAAACCTCCCATTTTTATTGAGTTTAAATGCTTATATTTACCTACATTTGTATCTGTGTTGTTTCCTAACTCAATGGTTTTTCTTTCTGTTCCAAATGCCTTCCTTTTTTTTTTTTTGGGTCCGGTCATGGGGCCTGAACTCTGGGCCTAGCTCTCCAGCTCAAGGCTAGCTCTCTACCACTTGAGCCACAGCACCACTTTCGGCTTTTTTTCTTTTTTTTGCTTATGTGGTGCTGAGGAATCGAACCCAGGGCCTCATGCATGAAAGGCAAGCGCTCTACCACTTCGCCACCTTCCCAGCCCATCCAAATGCCTTCCTTCTAAGCACAATTCAAACCCTAACTCTAAGTGACACCACTCTCAGAACTCCTAACAGCATTAACTCAATCTTTAATTGCTGCCTTGAGTTACAACTTACTTCAAATAAACTACAAATTCCTTGAGGGAAGATGATAATTTACACTACCCTATATCAATGGATCTAGCATAAGAGAGAAAATAAAATGAAAATATATGTGTATCTAACAGTTAGAGAACTATAACAACGGGGCTGGGAAGGTGGCTCAGTGGTAGAACGCTTGCCTTGCATGCTCAAGGCCCTGGGTTCAATTCCTCAGCACCACATAAGAAAAAAGAAAAAAGCCGGAAGTGGCGCTGTGGCTCAAGTGGTAGAGCGCTAGCCTTGAGCTGAAGAGCTGAGGGACAGTGCCCAGGCCCAGAGTTCAGGCCCCACAACCGGACCCAAAAAAAAAAACTCATTTCTATGAGTAAGTGAACACCTCAATTTATGTGTTCAACCTGAACACTACAGGAACCACAGAATCAGCAGGAACAAACATGTTTTTCCTAAATCCTCATGTTTTAAGACTAATCCAATAGAAAAAAAAAAAAAGTAATACAATATAAATAAAATTTTTCCGGGGCTGGGGAGGTGGCTCAGTGGTAGAGCGCTTGCCTTGCATGCCTGGGGCCCTGGATTCGATTCCTCAGCACCACATAAGCAAAAAGAAAAAAAGCCGGAAGTGGCGCTGTGGCTCAAGTGGTAGAGTGCTAGCCTTGAGCTGAAGAGCTGAGGGACAGTGCCCAGGCCCAGAGTTCAGGCCCCACAACCAGACCCAAAAAAAAAAAAAAAAAAAAAAAAAAAATTCAGGATAGATGTTACTAGGCCAATTCTAAATGCTGTTGTGTGTAGTCTACTTCTTTTACTTTTTTTTCTCTTGGTTGGTCATGGGGTTTGAATTATGAGCCTGGGCATTGTCCCTAAGCTCTTCAGCTCAAGTATTACTTGAGCCACAGTGCCACTTCTGGTTTTTCTGGTGGTTAGTTGGAAATAAAGAGTCTCAAGGATTTTCCTACCCAGACTAGCTTTGAACTCTGATCTAGGTTAACAGACGTGAGGCACAGGTGCCTGGCTTCTTTTACTTTTAAAATACAAATTAAGAGCCAGGTGCCAGTGGCTCACATTTGTAATCCTAGCTATTCAGGAGGCTGAGATCTGAGGAGCCAGACAGGAGAAAATCCATGAGACTCATCTCTCCAATTAACCAGGAAAAAGCTGGAAGTGGAGTTGTAAGTCAAGTAGTAGAAAGCAACCCATGAGCATCAAAATCTCAAGGGCAGCACCCAGGCCTGGAGTTCAAGCCCTACAACTAACTCTAGCGCGCGCACACACACACACACACACACACACACAAACAGTTACAAATTAAGTTTCAAAAACTACATTACTTTAGACTCACCTTTAATTCCTTAATTACTCCTCAAACTAAAAAAATCATGTACACACATAATATACACACATACACTCACCTCAAAGAGAGTTCTCTATGACAACTCACATTTCCAAAATGGTGTCACTGAGTTCACCCAGAATTCAGGGAAGAATAGAATATCATTCTCTACAGAATAGTCTCTACATAGCTGGGCGCAGGTGGCTCACACCTGTAATCCTAGCTACCCAGGAGACTGAGATCTGAAATTGTGGTTCAAAGCCAGCCCAGGCAGGAAAAGTCCGTGAGACTCTTATCTCCAATAAACCACTAGAAACTGAAAGTGACACAGTGGTTCAAGTGGCAGAGCGCTCGCCTTGAGCTGAAGAGATCAGGGACAGCAGTGGCCCTAAGTTCAAGCCCCACAAACGACCAAAAAAAAAGAGTCTTTGATCTTAATCCAAGTGTGGGCTATATCACCAAACATAGAATGTTCAAGAGCCCATAAGATTTCGTCCAGAATACTTGGTCCACATTCCAATGCAAACTACAACAAAAGTTTAAAATACTTGCATAAGGTATTGAAAACTTCATGGAATACATGAAAAGGTAACCATGAATGCAAAAATACTTTTTAGCTCTTCAAAACACACTTATTTGAGTATTTGGGACTGTGGCTCAGAGGCAGAGTGCTCACCTAGCATGTATGAAGCCCTGGGTTTGATTCCTCAGTCCCACTTACACAGAAAAAGCCGGAAGTGCTGCTGTGGCTCAAGTGACAGAGTGCCAGCCTTGAGCAAAAGAAGCTCAAGGACAGTGCCCAGGCCCTGAGTTCAAGCCCCAGGACTGGCCAAAAAAAAAAAAATTATTTATAAAAGCTTATCTACCATGGGGGCTATTCTTCTTCATTAATAAGTAATGTTAATAATTCACTAATTAAAGGACAAATTCAAGAGCCAAGGACTCTCATTTCTCAATTCCTTGTCTACCACTTGCTTAGTCTTGGGCACAGCACTAAATTTCACCATCCATTTCCACACGTATTGGTCAAAATGGCTTAACTGTCGGTTTCAGGAGAGAAATGATTAAATGTCTATAAAGTATTTCAAATCCACGAAGGAAAACCACTGTAACCATAGAATGGCCTATTTACTTAATGCAACGCTACAGCTACTTGTGAGCAGTAGCTGCAAATCCAATCCCCCTAATTCTTCTGTGTCTTAACACAGCAAATCCTCAGTGAGTCAGTAAGGTACAAGTACTTCTTGAGCTCGTTTCACACCCTCAGAGCAAAGAATTCCCTTCCAAATCTTTGTCTTCACAAAACACCTTGGCACTCACTACCCAACCCAATGATCTGCAAGGAGAAACGTGGTCCAGCTCGTATGAGGAAGTCACCCCTGGTTATTGGTTACGCCGGTAACAAATGACTGGAGGCTGCTAGAGAACCACAGAGGAACTTTTCTTTGTTGAACACACCAGAAATGTGGGGCCGGAAGGGAATCCCAGAAGCTTTATTAAAGGGCAGGTCCGTCCTCCTCCTCCCCTCTTACATAAAGAGGGTTTTCTGGACAGCTGGAGACACCCGGCAGGATTCGGTGAAAACCTCAACTAACTCGCTGGGTAGGTGCAGCACCCGCTTGGAGATGAAGAGGCTGCTCGGGAAAAGTGCTGATGCCACCTCCAGCTGCCCCAGGGTGACAGCAACAATGCCAACACCCACAAAAGAGCCGGGAGGCCACCCAAAGCCCCCCCCCCCCGCCCGCGGGGGCCACCAGCGGACAAACCCCTGACAGGTTCCCTCCCTGCCCCCGTCCCCGGCGGAGCCCGGCGCCCAGCCGGGCAACGTGAGAAAGTGCTCCCGCTCCCGGCCGCCCCGGGCGCGGGGCACTGTAGGGCTGAGGGACCGGCCGCCCGCCTTCCCCGGGCGCCGGAGGAAGCGACTCCGCCACTTCCTCTCGGGCTCCGCGCGAGGCGGCCCCGGGCGGGCCGGAGGGCACAGAGGGCGCAGCGGGACGCGGGGCTCGGGCGCCGGGCACCCCGTCCTTCCCCGCGAGGCGGCGCGTGCTCGCGGGGCGGCGGGAGCCAGGCCCCGGCCGCGGCCGCCCGGGTGGGGGAGGCGGCGGGCGCCAGGCCGCGGGGCCAGCTCCCGCTCCGGCTCCCGCCCCACGCGGTCCCCGCCCGCCGCCGAGGGCCGGGCGGCCGGGCTCCGGCGGGCCGAGGGCGGAGGGCGGCCCGGGCCCTACCTGAGGCTGTGTACCAGCTCCCGGCGTGGCTGGCTTCCCGGCAGACCACTCGGTTGGACATCTTGGTGCCTGTGCCGCCTATGGTGCACGGGGATGAATGAGGAGGAGGCGGCGGCGGCGGCGGGAGCGGCCCGGTGAGGGGACGAGACACCGCGGGCCCAGCCCAGGAGGAGGCGGCGGCGGGGAGGGGATCGGCCCGGCCCAGGAGGAGGAGGAGGAAGAGGAGGAGGAGGAGGAGGCGGCGGCCCCGGAGGAGGAGACGGCAGCCTGGGCGGTGGCGGCGGCGGCCACAATCACCGCCGACTCCAGCGAGCGCCGGAAGACGGGGCCCTCGGCGGCTTTACCGAAGCCCGGCCCCGGAGTCGCCGCCGCTCTCCAGCCGGGGCTGGTCCCACCGAGCCGCCCCCACGGACCCCTCCCCGCCCGGCCTCCCGAGCCGCCGCCGCCGCCGCCACCGCCGCCGCCGCGCCGGTGACCCCACCCCCGTGACTCCGCGCCCGCCCCCTCCCCGCCCCCCGCGGGGCTCCCGCACCCTCCCCGCCCCCACCCGGAGGCCGGGTCCGCCCGCCCACCGGCCCCGCCCCGCCCGCCCCGCCGCTCCGCCCGCCGCGAGGTTAACGGCGGAAACCGGACCGGCCGGACGGCCTGGCCAGGCAGCGGCGGCCCCGCGCGCGCGCGCGCGCGCACGCGCGCACACACACACACAGCGCCCAGGGTCGGCGCCTGAACCCGGGAAGGCAGGCCCGGAGGAGCCAGCGCCGCCTTACTCGCCGCTCTAACGGGTCCGGCCCACTGAGCATGCCCAGCTCCGCGGCCAGGCCCGCCGCCCAGGCAGGGCGAGCACGCTCCGCGCTCCGGGGCTTAGCGCCGGCACGGGCGGGGCTCCGGGAGCCGGGCGCCGTCGCGCGGCGGGCCCGAGCCCCCTTCCCCCGGCCGGCCGGCCGGCCTGCCTGAGTCCCAGGTCGGGATGCGGCTTCCCATCTGGAAGCCCAGCAGCCAGCTCTCCCCGCCCGGACCCAGGCGTCTCCAGTGGATTCCGGGGTTTACTGGCCGGGAAGTTTCATTGTAGCATGCCTATGTAGTCCCCGCTTGTGGAGTTGTGCCTTGACGGGGTCACCCTTACCACCTAATCGAGGCGTGGGCACCCGATGTAGCCTTGTTTCGTGTTTTGTATCTGCATGGCTTCTCTCCCTAACCTCTGGGTGATGCGTTGACTCCATTTTTCCCAGCTGGAATGGGGAGTGGCACTCTAGGACGGTGCCTGGTCAGCGTAGGTGTACAACAGAGATGCCAGCCTGCGCTTCGCATCGTACCCGCTCCCAATGTCGGCGACAGAAAAGTCCTTTCCCATGATAGAGCTGCATGCAAAGGACATCTTGGGCCTCCAAGGCAGTGCTACTATTTGCAGCACACTGTTCCCAAACTGGGAACTGAGTAACAGAAAGTTGCATATTTTCATCTTCAAAGGGAAAGGTTTAGGGCTACAACCATAAAACTGCTTAGTACCTTAGTTCCAAAGAAGTGAAAGTCCTGATACTGAAATGTATAGTTTTCCCTGAGAATACGCTTTTTTTTTTTAAGATGCTGTTTGTTCTACCATTCTTTCCAACGTTCAGGGCCCCAGAACTCGTGTGTGTGTGTGTGTGTGTGTGTGTGTGTGTGATCTTGTCCTTAAAAGTTTATTACTGGAGTGGTGTCAACATTTTGCTACAGTTACTAAGCTAAAACGTCCACCAAATCTTAATTTATACACTTCCAAATTTTACCCTCTCTGGCCTAATACTAAGATAACAGCTTTCGGGAAAAACTATTATTAGGGATAATAGAAAAATAAGTCTGGAGCTCTAATTCAATACTTTTTCTAGAGTAACAAGACTCAGTGACAACTGATGCAGTCAACTTTTGGTTGTAAATTGAAGGATAAAGATACTTAACTGCTGATATGGCAACAGTGATGCTGGTTAATTATTTCTGATACTGTTTCTGCTTCCAAACCTACAGGGGAATGAGATACAATGAAAAAAGATACAATGAATAAAGTTTCCTATTTCAGGTTCTTCAATGGGAACATCAGATTTTTGACTTGGCTCTGCCACCTGGGGCATCTAGCAATTCTTTCAAGCTTCCAAATGCAAACAACAGTAATAATCTCCCAGACTTGCTGTAGGAATCATCCAAGTATTTGAAGACACTTTATAAGCTGTTCTTCCTAAATATTTGTCCTTATCATTCTCTGCTTCTAGCAACAACCCTATGCCTCATTCCAAAGTAGTAATTTAATTCAACATTAGGTGGGTGCTATTGACAAGCCAGGAGCTGGTGGCTCACACCTGTAATATTAGCTACTTATGGGACTGAGATCTGAGGATTATGGTTCAAAGCTTGCAGGGAGTAAGAAAGTCCTGAAACTCTTCAACTCCAATTAACCACCAGAAAACTGGAAGTGGAGCTGTGGCTCAGTTGGTAGAGCACTGGCTTTGAGCATAAAATGAGGAACATCACCCAGGCCCCACTACAAACAAAAAAGAATGGAAGGTAGGTAGAAAGGGAGGGAGGGAGGAAGGGAGCAAGGAAGCAAGCAAGCAAGCAAGCATGCAAGCAAGCAAGCAAGCAAGCAAGCAACAAACTCGTAACATCAATAGTTTGGAAGGCTAAGGTACATGATAGACAAAACATTAATTTCTTCAGTGTGTATTCTTTTGGTTCTTTTGAATTTTGTACCATATCCCTGAGCTACAAATGCCAACTTACTTTTTCATTTTACTTTTCCACATCTAACAGATAACTTTAGGGTCTCCATTTCACTGACATTCTATAGATCAAAAACCCATTATTGTAGAGTTGGGGGTAACTAAATAATAGAGTGCTTGCCTAGTATGTGGAAGGCACTAGATTCTGCCCCATACACTGAGGGGGTGGGGAGTTGGGAAAGGCGGAAAGAAAATAAAAATATTTTAAAAGATACCACAGTGATTTTGGACAAAAGACAGAAAGCCATGTACCAGTAGCTCATGCTTGTAATCCTAGCTACTCAAGAGGCTGAGATCTGAGGATCATGGTTCAAAGCCAAACTGGACAGTTAAGCCTGAGAGTCTTATCTCTATTTTTTTAAAGGCAGAAGTAGAACTGTAGATCAAAACATAGACTGGTAGCCTTGAGCAAAAAAAAAAAAAAAAAAAAAAAGCTCAGGGAGTGTCCTGGCCCTGAGTTCAAGCCCCAGAACCAGCTTACACACACACACACACACACACACACACATACACACACACGGTTGAGAGAAAAGTTTAATAAATATTGAGAAAAAAGTTTTTAATAAAATAATTTTTATTCCAACTAACACTTGTACTGTACAGGCCAGGGGTATGGTTTCAAATAGTATAACACCTGCTCAAAAACCACCAGGCCCAGGCTGGGAATGTGGCTTAGTGGTAGAGTGCTTGCCTAGCATGCATGAAGCCCTGGGTTCCATTCCTCAGTACCACATAAACAGAAAAAGCCAGAAGTGGCACTGTGGCTCAGCAAAAGAAGTCAAGGATAGTGCCCAGGCCCCAAGTTTAAACACTAGGACTGGCAAAAAAAAAAAAAAAAAAGCACAAGGCCCTGAGTACTGAAAAGGTCACTAAACCCTGAGTATTGAAAAATCTGGCACTCTAGAATCATGTTTTTGCTCCTTTCTACTATACAAGCCAAATTTATTAAATACATAACTCTGTATCTGACCCTTCCCAAGTTTTTCATATATTTAGTGATTTCTATAAAATGTGTTCAACTCCAATGTTTTATAATAAAATTATAGGCATAAAGCATTTTTCCTCATACTTTTATTTTACTGGTACTCGGACTTGATCTCAGGGCCTACGCACTGTCCCTGAGCCTCTGTGCTCAAGACTAGTGCTCTTGCTCTACCACTTGAGCCACAGCACCACTTCTGGCTTTTTATGAGTAGTTTATTGGAAATAAGAGTCTCCCAGACTTTCCTACCCAGGCTGGCTTCAAACCATGATCCTCAGATTTCAGTTTCCTAGTAATTAGGATTACAGACATGAGCTATCAGCATCTGGTCTCATACTTGTTAATATTGAGGATTTCCAAAAATAAAATAATTGAAATAAAAATATCCAAACGCTTTAAAGTTGGACACGTTTTTCTTGTTTTTTGGGTTTGTTTTTTTTTTGGGGGTGGGGGGTCCGGTCGTGGGGCCTGAACTCTGGGCCTGGGCGCTGTCCCTTAGCTCTTCAGCTCAAGGCTAGCACTCTGCCACTTGAGCCACAGTGCCACTTCAGGCTTTTTTTTTGCTGCTTATGTGGTGCTGAGGAATCGAACCCAGGGCCTCATGCATGCAAGGCAAGCGCTCTACCACTGAGCCACCGTCCCAGCCCAGACATGTTTTTCTAAGGGACAGTTTTCATCACAAACTGCCCCCTTTAGCTGGGGTGGCCTATTTTCTATGTATTGCATTCCTTCTTTGCCAATTTATACCTAGAGTATATTTAAATATCACTAGGATTTGAACTCAGAGCCTTGCACTTACTAGACTGGTGGTCTACCACTTGAAAACAGCTATAGCACTTTTTGCTTTAGGGTTTTCATTTTGTTTTGTTTTAATAAAGTCTCACATTTATGCCTGGAGAGCTGTTTACACTTTTCATGTAGCTGGAATGATATACTTGCTCCATTACACTCAGCTTTTTATTAGTTGAAATATGGTTTCATGAACTTTTTTCATCCATGCCACACTTGGTGATTCTCCCAATCTTGGTCTACTCAATAGTTAAGATCACAAACATAAACCACTGTACCCAGATTATACACAAAAATTTCTTAACAATTAAATTCTCAGTTATGGGTTTTTTCTTTTTTTTTGTTGGTCGTGGGACTTGAACTCTAGGTTTGGGTGTTGTCCTTGTGCTCTTCAGCTCAAGGCAAGTGCTCTACCGCTTGAGCCACAGTGCCACTTCCGGTTTTCTATTGCTTTATTGGAGATAAGAGTCTCTCAGACTTTCCTGCCCCAGCTGGCTTTGAACTGCAATCCTCAGATCTCAGCATCCTGAATAGCTAGGATTATAGGTGTGAGCTTTTTCTTTTTGTTTGGTCATGGGGCTTGGACTCTGGGCCTGGGTGCTGTCCCTTAGTTCTTCACCTCAAGACAAGTACCTCTACCACTTGAGCTACAGTGCCACTCCCAGTTTTAGATCTCAGCCTCCTGAGTAGGAGCCACAGGGGCCCAGCCGCCTCTCCCTCCCCCTCCTCCTCCCCCTGCCCCTCCTCCTCCTCCTCCCCTTTTTCTCTCATGATGGCACTCTACCACTTGATCTATGTCTCTGTTGTTTCA